CCAGCATCGATGGGATCACATTAAATAACAATGAACTGCAGCTGCTGAACGTACGTTGTAACATTGTAATTCCTTTGTAATGCATGAGGAATGAATTGGACGAACATATAACATGCTTCCCATTGGATTTTCGAAAAACGTTTTAATTGCTGCTTACTGTGCTCTCCCTTTGCTATCTGCTATCTGCTTTCGAGCTCTTCGTCCTTTTTTCCATCGCTAAATGATTGTTCATTGCAAATGAAATAATATTCGATTCAAAATTGCACTTTATCGGTATAATTTTAAGCTCTACGAAATCCGCTTAAGTGGGCATGTAACTAGAGAGGAGAATTTTAATGTGCAGTCAATTAAATGAAGACAATTTCACATACATTCCTCTGAACGTATTTACAAATTCCGAGTTGTAATTGCAATTTTTGTGTATCATTGCATAAATAATATATTATATAAATATTGTACATAATTACATATTTATATTAACAAATTACCCAAGAAGGCCTACGATTCGTTAAAGAATCTACGAACTAAAGAAGTTTAACCAAAAATTTTCTTCATTTCTGAAGTTAACAAAACAGGAGTAGACTAACAAAAGTATATTTAGAATATTTGTATAACCCCAAAATCCATAATGTATAAATATTAACAAAAATGTTGGAAAGCTTAAGTATGAAGCATGCAAGTAAATACAGAAAATACAGATTATAATACCCTAAGGAATTTTGATAGAATCAATATTAGAACAAAAACGAATTATCATAATAATATCGTTAAATAATATTAATCAAACAATAATATCAAATTTTAATTGATTTTTTTTGTTATTCCTTATCTCATAATATCAATATTATAACGTCTTCGATAACGCACCCCAACATCAATCGATTTCAAGTTTTTCTCCGAAGCCATATTTCACTGTAACACTTTTGGATAAGCTATAGTCAATAATCGTGTATTTCTCTGATTTCTAAGTCCACTTCGTAAAAGAAGTATTGTAGTTTCGATGAAACACTGACTTAAATAATAAATTTTGATAATATTCTGAAATATTTGCAATATAATAATAGTGACTAATATATTTAATCAAAATAAATAAAATTTATAATAAATAAAATCACAACAATGCAACATAATACCTCATCTCCCAGAGCTTAAAGCCACATATAAGGAAGCTAAAACTATCTTTGAAGCATGGAATCTAATATTTTCATCCCTTGAAATATTTTTGTAATGTCACGAATCAAAAAAGTAAAATTGTTTCACAGGGCTATAAGAGGATTCGTAACGTGAGCGAGACTAGTTTTAGCGAAATGAGGACTTTAATTGGCATAGTCTATGTTCCGAGACTACATAAATCTTTACACAGTTAATTGGACGATGTTTTAAACTCTGACGGTACAGGACTTGATATTTGATATATGTATGGCAGTAATGTCAGCCAAGAGATTCGCATCTTTTTTGCGAAACTTACGATTTGATAAACTTACACCACTATTAGAACGTTGGTCTGTAGATAAGTTAAGTTCTATACGAGGATGCTTAGAAAATTTCGTTCAGAGATGTCACAAATGCTACGCAGTGTGTGAATATGTCACTCTTGATTAAATGCTTGAAAATTTCACAAGTCGATTTTCAGATACTCGACAATATTTGCCAAGAAAGCACTGAATTTGGAAGTTTGTATAGACCACAAACCAATCATTTTTTGAAAACAGTTCGACAACGGTTGTAGTGAAGCAAATGATAAGTTATATATCTGAATCCTGGCGAAACATTACAATGGATAATATGTACATAAGTGTTCCATTGATAGAAGAGGTGCTAGAAAAGCATAATTTGACTATGGTTGGTATTTAACAAAAAAAAAATTAACCAGAAATGCCACAAAAATTAAGAAGTTAAAAACAGGTTTTCTCCTTTTTTGGTTTCAAACCAAACCATAAGGCTTACTTTACGTACTGTCCCAAAAAAAACAAAATTGTGCTCCTGCTTTCCCCTATGTACGAAAGCAATACTATCAACCGAAATTCAAATAAAAAGCTGCCCGATATAATAGAATTCTATAATATAACTAAAGGAAAGGTATTGATGTCGTTGACGGACTAAAATCGAACTACTCAGTAGCACGTGTTCGCTTTAGATGGTCGTTTCGTCTTTTATTTTCAATGCTTGACATTGGCTGCATTAAGGTTCACATAATTTTTGATTCTTTGCATATATAATAGAGCAAAATATGAAGCGAAAAAAATTGTGTTAAAACTTTGTCTTTTTTTCTTATGGAAACACAGATCGCTTGGCGAGACACAAGGAGTCATTGCCTTTGGAAGTGAGGTGTACTATTCAGCGCTTTACCGAGGCCTCACGATCACAAGAAAACAGAAGCACCACCAAAAAAGAAAAATAGATGTGGATATTGTTCACGACACTTTAAAATACAAATTAAAATAAAATTAAAAACTATTTTCTTTTTGTAGTTAATGTTTAGTATACTAAAAGGTTCCAAAAATGGTAGAAAATTTAATACAATTTGATAAAAATTATATTATTAAAATAAATCAATGTTTTTTTCTTTGCTGACGTACGAAACTATTATTTTTATTACTATCAAAAAGCATATGTTTTATCAAAAATTTTATATGTTTCATCAAATCATTTAAACTTACTTTTATTATTAACAATTTGCAATAATACTTTGTGATGTCCGCGCACTTTATTGTTGAGCACGCCTTTAGTATAGTTTTTAAACAAGATCTTTAAGCTTAAAAGTGCTTTTGCACCTGATAGACACGTGTGCCGCAGTACTTTCACAAAGGGGTCCTAACGAAGCCCACGCGATCCGGAAAAAGCTTCATGGTCCGTGTTTGTTCTAACCTCTCTAGGGAATTTCCTTTTGCAGCTGGTGTCCCACAAGGGTCTGTCTTAGATCCTATACTGTTCAATATCTACACCTCTGACATTCCAGTTGCTCTCTCTGATGTCAAGAAAATCTGTTTCGCAGACGACTGCTTAATATACTCCAAATACGCACATTCTTCTACGGTCTCCAACTCCCTCAACTAGCACTTAGCCACCCTTTCCAGCTACTTCTTTACGTGGAAGCTTGAACTCATTCCCTTCAAAGTCTTCGCCATTGCGTTACGATGGAGGGAATAAATGTTCATTTATTTATGGAGTTGGTAAGTCAATCAATGGGCCTTTATAGAAAAGCATTGCTCTGATTGGACAGATCAGAAATTTGAATCACATTTTAGGCCTCTTTTGTCTTTGTTTACAGCTGATGTGCGCAATCCAATCAAATTGTTGGATGCTTTTCATGACAGTTAGGTCTTACAACATTCAAACGAAGATTATAATCAATTAGTTAGGGTTTATTAGTTTTTTCCTTGACGAAGTTATTACTATGAAATAATAACAAGGTTGCTGTTAAGAAGAGTTAGAGTTGATGGTGACCATGATTTGAAATATAAGGAATCTTTACACTGTGAGTAAAGTATACAAGCAAAGGTAACAAGGTATGAATCCTATTACTGGAGACACCTTATATCAAAATTGTGTTACCAAATAGTGGAATATTCCTGTAATGAAAAGTCACAACAAATACTTTAAAAGACACTTTAGATGCCAAATAATGGCAGACTCGCTTTCAGTCTTACTGAAGTCCGTATCATGACTTAAGTTATGACTATGAAATAAAGCCTTATTGTGGCTTAATACAATAAATATAAAGTACTTAGTAAGTTTTTTCAAATTGAGTTTATAAATTTAGGTGTTTATGTTTTTATTCAATGGTGCCGGCTGATGTCAATTTATTAACAAGCATATGTCAAACGTATTTTATCGTTTAACCTTTTACGATATTTTTGTTATAGAAACACTAAAAAGTTAAATATAGTAAAATAGATTTTATTTACTGCTCTGCTTGTATTTTATCTTTATGATTTATGATTATATATATATATATAATAGGCAAAATAATTATGAAATTATGATCACTTGCATTGACGAGTACCATTTGACACTTGCTCGTAGGTACCTCACCCGGCTCCATGACCTTCACTCTCACGTCTCTACTCCTACAACCCTTCCAGAAGTTCTTGTTCTAGCCTTACGCTTTAAACCTCCCAACACCTGTCCCACTACCTTGATGAGTGGGACCGTAATCTCCATTCCATTCCCCTATATAACCGCGGCTTTCTTGACCCCAGTCATAAAGTTTACCGTTAACCTCGCCCCCGCTTATCTGCTCTTACCCCACCCCCTTCTCTATAACCTAATTTCCCTAATGTACGCCCTTGCTTTCTGGCTTGGATAAATCTAGCTCGTTAGTTACTAAGTCCATTTTTTCTCCTCTCTTTCCTGATTACTGGAATGAAGTTTTCACAATGCTGTGGATATCTTCTCCATTCATTCCTAAGAGGTGGTTTAGTGGGTTCAAGTCTCACACGGTGGCTTTCGATGCTTCCACCTACTGTCAAAAAAAAAAAAAATTATAGGAAAAGCGTGGGTTGTAGCCACGCGACCAACAATATCTCAATTTTGTTCTGTATAGATTATATATTTTGAATATTACGATGACAATTGCTTGGTTTTTAATAAATTATCAGAAATTGTGAATATTTCACTTCTATACATTTTTTCAAAATATATGAATTGCTTTGCATACTTTTATGAATTTTTAATCTCGTTAAATTGTTGTACTATAGGTGAAATATGTGTTGAATAGGATTTTATGAAATTATAACGATACTTAAAACTATTTCAGAACTACAGCTGTAATAATCCATATATGTTGCCTAAGATATGCAAGTAAATCCCATGCATATGATATGATCTTTGGGTTGAATTATTCTCCATTAAAACTGGTTTATTGCTGTTTAGGTTGATTAACTGTCGTCAGTTAGCCATTGCATTCCATCGATGCAATGCCTCCTTTCTCGTAACATTCCTTCAAGTTTTAAAATTAGTAATGATAATTTTGGTGTCTGTAAATATACTAAATTACATTAATTTTCTGTGGACGATTCATTTTCAGTGGACACTTCATTTTCAGTGGACGACTCAATGTTATCTTCTTTAAGTGAATTATAAAACTGCCTGTTCCATTTAAATGTGTAGTACTTCAATTCAGTGGCTTGGTTTTCATCTCCTTGTATTAAATAAGCGACTACACTATTTTTTCTTACAGCCGTCGCCATTCGTGACATAGTCCGCATTTCATAATAATGCAATTTGCCATCTGCTATTAAATTAATGATATGAGAAGAATGATATCGCTCGGGATCTCCATTATAAATAACAAAATCCCCTCCATATACATCGCCACAAGTTATATAATAACCACGCATCCATAAATCCCTAAATACTCGGTATTGAAAAGAGTTGATATCTTTAACACTCACAATTCTAGCTTCTAAAACAAAGCTGTAATTAAAAATAATTTATTTATATTAAGTGCATCTTACTATGAGGTAGCGGGAATACATTGAAAGGAACGTATAGACTTTTTTCATCCGCTGCAAACCTTCTTTCCGTATTATGCACATTTTCCGTAATCTTTTTATTTATTTCTGCACAAATAGAATATTGTTAATAACTTTTCATGTGTGATATTTTTGTTAAGAATTTTACCTTCAATACTAGGTAAAGGTGCTGTTATGGTCGCTGAGAAATGTTTTCTTTTGCCCAGATGTTTTCTTGGAACTGATAATTCTCTATCTGCAGTTTTTTCTGCGATATTAACTCGAATACGTTTTTTTAGGTGCTGCGTTAAACGGTCTTTAACGTTCTCTTGCTCAGCAACTGAGAATTCTCCCAAGAATCTATCTTTTTTGGACACCAATACAGCAATACCTCGTTCTACCAACAAACGTGTTTCTAGCGGTGTCAGTCGCACAGGAATAGCTTGATTATAAAACAAAATGGGTTAACATTCTAAATTAAATTTTACTTTTTCTTACTAAAACGAGCATAGCCAGCTTCTCTTCTCGCTCCGATTATACGATATTTCCTTCGAAGTGTAACATAATCTGTAGAAAAGAAATTAAATATTTAAAATATTACAAAGTGTTGAACTATAGATTATCAAGAGCACTTATAGAAATAATGATAGTCAAAACTGAGTAAGATAATTTCTGTGTTTATATATATAATAATTTACAGAACAGTTAGTCTATTTCAAAAACAAAGTTATATATAAACATTTTTATAATGGACACATACATATTGCATTTATTAATCTGCTCTCTTTTCATAAAAACTAAAACTTTTTATCACACTTTTTACGTGATATTTTGTTTATTGTGGAGTTACGCACAAACTGCTTGGGCCAGTAACGTCTACTACTTAAGACGGTAATTAAAGGCCAGTAGGCGTTAATCAAGCCTTTTACGATTAACGGAATAAAACAAGGGAATAATGGGCGCCAATTGGTCTTATTCAATACAACAATGTATGTATGTGTAAGTTTACAAAGTACTTCTAACAGTACACACTATAAAAAATGTTAATATAGCGCACAAACTACATGCAATAATATATATATTGAATCCTTTAACTCCTAGGAGAGGCATAGGGCCACAATAATGCTTACAAGAAACGTTTCCATTCTTACCCTTACGATTGAAAACAAAGCCGGTACCATCTATATATGTTAAATATATTTTCCTTTGCGCTGTTTCTGAAATTTTAGAATTTTCGTCCATTGAGTATAGTCCACAGCACAGAAATATCTAAATATTAAAAATAATTAATCTTAGCCATTTATTAATAAATTGTATTTACTTAACACAACGAACCCTTCCAGCTGCTTTTTCGGCGATAACCTTCTTTGCCAGTAGTGTGTGTCTTAAGTCACATTTTTTGACACTTCATGTAACCATTCACAATAAATAAAACCATATGTGGCGTTACTTGATGATCGAATACACACTGTGTAGTGCACTACGTAAGACATGTTCGATTCTATTTGGTTTTGTATATATTTATTCACTTCTAGTATATATAATAAACTATTACAAAATTTGATTCACATAAAACAAAACTAAATACATTTAAAATAAAATCATTGCTCTTCAACATATCGATTCACTAATGGCGTTTTCGATTGGTAAATCTGGTTTCAATCTACATTTACTCTCGATCTATCAAATTTTGTTGCCCAATCGAACATTTTTAGAGTAATCTGACATTTTTCTAATGTTAGTTGTGTTAGTAAGACAAGACCTATATTTTCTAAAGGGAAATTTTCCATAGAACTCGGAAATCATGTCGACTAATGTAATTAAAGTAAAGAAATCTGAATGGAAGAAATTGTAAGTAAGCAGATTCAAATGAAAGTATCTTGGATAGTGGAGGCACGACTATTTACAGCAAGCTCAAAACAATTACTTTTTGGAAAGGTATTATAATATTGAATGGTGTAATTCACTACGAACGGTGATTAAAGAATTAGGTGATGGATACAAAATTCATTTTGCTTGAGTAGTAATATTGTATTTGAGCCACCGTAAGGTATTTAGGAAAGCTTATATAAATAATAGCTTATACATAAACTTATGCACCGCACATTATTTTTTTCATTATAATTAAATACACACAAATCTATTTTATTTAAATGCCTACCAGCAAACACCTGCATCTAAATCTCATAATGAATGTGTTTTTAAGCACATTAGCCAGCATCTGGCCAAACATATTCCTTGGCTCACAACTGCAACTGCTGTGATATATCATAATTTAACGAACAACATTAGAAAGATACGAGTTGATAATTAATTTATAACTGTTGAACATTTGTAAAATTAGATTTAACCAAGCCCACAAACTGGAAGTTTTTTCAAGCATATTTCCGTTTGGCACATTTACCAACACAATTGCCGCACTACATAAAACTTTCACCATTTAACATGCAAAATGCAATATCCAACATGCATTTAGCCTTTGTTGCACCAATCAAACACTTGCGCAATAATTGCCACAAAATTTCCGGCACTTTTCATACAACGGAAACATAAACTGTTGCCAGCTGTTTCGGTTACCACTACTAGCCGTAGTAATTCAACATAACACACAGTTCTCAAGGCATACCACATGCAGAACCAACTAACCCATTCCTCATTTGACAAGGCTGATGACACTCCTAGTTTTGAATGCTTCACATGCAATGCGCAATGCATATCGCATGTGTTTGTCTGTGATAATATTGCTCGCATTGCACTTCACTGCATTTTATGGCAGCTTTATGGACTTCTATCTCGGATGCAGCATATATTCATTTGCGCATAAATTGTGCACATGTAAAAACTTCCTAATACTTATACTTTCATCCGCCAACACATCAAAGCATAATGCAACAACAACAACTACAACAACTACAACATCAACTGCAATAACAGACAATACGTTTATCAGCAACTAATATTGTTGTTGTTTCTGCAGCTAAACAAAACAAACCCATCCTTCATGATGACTTAATCTGAACCCTTTGTTTACAAAGTCTTGCTCGGTATAACTAATTGTATTACCCATACGCCCCACTTGAAGAGTAAACTGCATGTGAATGCTTCCCATTTCCCTCTGCAATGACATTGAATACTTGCTTATTGAATATCTAAACTATACTGCATACATTCATTTATAGTATCTTCAAAGCAATTGTTTCATTATTGTGTCCTTTAACAAAAACAATCGGGACCATCGAAACAACGAACCTCACATACCGCCTAAGAGTTGCTAATGCTTTGGTTTAAAATTTTTTAATTGAATTATAAATAAAAAACTATTGAATTAGCTTTTTCTGTACACACATAATTATTGTCTATTAAATCGCCAACGTATTGACTTTTTTTGACTTCATTAAGTTCAAAAAAGCTTCAAATCTAGCTCTAAGTAGTGGTGTGCTGTAGTAAAATAAAATGGAGCTGTTCCCTTCTTTGTTCATTGTTCAGTTAATATCTTTTAGTATGTGTAGAGAGCCTCTAGTATTAACCTTTGGTATTATTGTGTTATTTTCTATATCCTCTGTGCGTTCAGTTTCTACTCTGTGTTGAGCTAGATTCTCGCAGTAAAGTGGTTAGAATATTCCGGAAATGAGTTATGTCTGTCGTAAGTTATGACTACAATCCAGTAGACAATACCAGACACTGCTTACTCTCATTCTTCTCCCCATTTCCATGAATTTCAAGAAAGTGAAAAGAACTAGGACCTGATGAAAATCTTAGTCTCGAACGTTCTGGAAAGCAGACAACAGACTGAACTACAATCATCTTAAACCGAGCGCTTTGCTCTTAAATTCTGCCTCATGACAACTGATTTTATTATTTGTAAGCATATCAAAAATCTGTGATAATGTGGTAACTCTATATTTGGCTGGAAAACCTCAAGTTGTGATGCTCTCCTTTGCGTTGATATTATTGATGGACTTATCTGCGCTGGAGTTGATGATATCGTCTGTAGTTCTTTGATTGATAGCGCTGGCGCTATTTGAATTGAAATAGCGACAAAGTACTGCTGTTAGCAGTTGTGTCTCATTACCTGTCATCAAAGAGTTCTGGCTGCATTTGGTTCACAAGTTTAGCTGTGATTATTATGGAATTTGTCGAATTTTGTCTTTATGCTATCTACGTAGAAGTACTTAAGTTGATTGACCATTCCAGAACCTGCCATCCAAGAGACGCAGGAAGGGATTGAGCTATTCCGAAAACCTGCAGTCAGGGTAATCTTTAGCACGCATTACTTATTGGTCAGGCTTTGGAATGACTACTAGTTACTGTTTTCTACTATAACTTTCAAGCGTGGGTACTCTATCAGAAAGCAATTGCTCTCTGTAGGGATATATTAAATCTTTGAGTTATAAGTGCAATCATTTTTATCATAAAGATACAATTATTTCAAAATTGCATGAGACAACTCTAGGGTAAATTTTATTTTTGGAAACACTGGAGACTTGATCTTGGGAAGATGCAAAGTTCATACATTAAAGAATTGCATACCAAACGATTCTATTGCCATGATGTTATTTATCGCAGAGTATGAAAGATTTTTATTGTCGCTTGAAAATGTGAGATTTCATAGATTTTCAAGACTGCATTCTGCAATTGTTGTCCTGAAGAGTCTTGAAAATGCTTGAGCGAATGTTGAAATTACGTTATATTAAAATGTCATTTCAGTTGTTTATTGGTCCATGTTGCAATAATGTGCTTCAGCGGAAGTGCCTAACACCTTTTAAAAGCCGTTATGATTAGTCATAAATTCTACGCTATTTTTGCAGTAGCACACATTTATTTATTTGTACCTTTTCCACGTATCACTGAGCACCCAGCCACTCCGCACTAGAATTTATTAGGTTTATTCTTCTTGCAGTCCTTTTTCCGCTTCCAATTTTTTGTGCTCCATATTTTACTTTTTTACATTCGGAGTTGCTTATTTATTATATCTTTTGCTCAGTTTTTGTTTCAACTGCAGGTATTTTAAGCAGTTAATTGATGCTGTGTCGCGTAAATTATAAGTAAATATTAAAGTGGACAACAAGGTTAAAATAAGAGAACACAAAAAGGCACAATAAGTGCAACGCAAAAAGCCAACAAGGAAGCCTGAGACTATAGCGAAAACGGAAGCGGAAGTGCTTTCTACGCAAGTAGAGTTCCACATAAAAAAGAACCCAAATGCTTGAAATATGGCATCACTGGCAGCACCACTAATAACGGTTGGTCAAGAGTCTAAGTTGCGCGCATATAGTGTGAGGTCAAGTGTGAATATATGGGCTTTTTGTTGTAGCGGAAGAAATAATGGTTGAATACAAAAACAAAAGCAACACTAATAAAAATGTTGTGAGAACATGAGCTTTACTTTTTGGGTACTAAATACAATATTCGCGCGTTGCATCGCATCCCATCGCATCGCATACCATGGCATTGGATCGCATCTCGACAACATCTCTATGTTACCTATGTATTACAACTACAACAACTGCAGTCGTAAGGTAGTGCACATTAATATATTTTTATATATGCATTTGAAAATTGTGTGGTGTGTAACTACTTTTGGATTGCAGTGCCCAGTACGAAATACTGTTAGTGGTTTGGAGTTTGGTTATACTGAAAACCTTAATAATAGCGGTCCTGAGAAAAATTTAAAAAAATGTTTATGGTTTTTTTTTTTTTCGAAAAAGTTGAAGCAACAAAGAAATGTACGCATTCCAAAACATCTTGAATTTGAAATTTAAAGTTTTTATCAGTACCCCGAACGTCAAATCAACTTTATCTAACGCATGTGAATCGTGGAAAACATTGGCCCCTAATCAATCGCACATCCACTGAAAATTTGGTGGCCGTGGCGCATATTAAATTTTGAGAACGCACGGAATAAACACAACCCGTCTCTGATCACAAACGAAAAAAATGGAAGTGGATTTGTCACAAGCTCAAAAAAAAGCATCTTGCATCACAAAACAAGCCTTACACTGGAATCGACAAGGTAGTCGCCAGTCTGGAACCTCAGCTAAGACATGGCGAAGAACCGTGGACTAGGAGCTCAAAGACGCACAGTACTCCTAGAACTAAATCACGAGAGAAGCTGATAATATAATTAGATTTAATGGAATCGGTGAGGCCCTATACTTTACTTAGGAGAGAAGGATAACAGTGAATAAGTAAGTAAGATCGACATATAAGTTAAATATTTGAATTACCTACTTAGTTATTAT